ATTTGGGAGCAGGGCTAGTTGGGAGGCCAAATTGTGACCTCCCATGTCGTGCCTGCATCCCCCATGGCAGTCACTCCTTGGGGATGATGGTTAATTATCCTTCCCTTTCCCAGAGAATTGTGCACTGTGCAGGGGTCAGAAATGCAGAGGAGGCTTTGGGAAGGCATCAAGTTCACAAGAGCCTTAGGAATGACCTCTCAGGAGTGACTTCTGGTGGTGGCTTGGCTATGACAGTCATTCCCTTGTTGTCATCCCAAACCCCTCCCAAGCAGCCACGCGGCAGCACGGGCTGATGCTCCTGGGAATTGCTGGTTTGGAAAAAAAAACCAAACCAACCCATGCTGTGATTGGGAAGAGCTACTTGAAAAAAAAACCAAAAAAACAGGCTCAGCAAAAAGCCCAGCAGCTTGCTTGGTGTGGGGAGTGACTCATCCCATCAAGGGCTCCAGCTGTCAGAGGAAACATTGGGATGGATCTCCACGCTCCTCACTCCCGAGAGGCTCTTTGGATCTGCTCGGAAGCTAATTGCTCTGGCGATCAGTGTTAGCACAGCCAAGGGCACAGGGAGAACAGCAGGAGCTTGGGAGGATCCATTTGGTGTAGTTAAAAGCTCTGTCAGGAATTTCAGCCAATAATGGGGATAATCAAGGACTTGATGAAAACAATTAAATTCAGGGAGATATAAAACACCACGTCCCAGTGCCGAAGGGAGGAGACCACGGCCGAGGCTCTGGGCGAGCAGCAGCGATCGAAAATGAGTTCGATGCTCCCAACCAACTTCCCCTGGGGCAAAGGGATTTGGAGCATCCTCAGCTTTGGAATGTGGTTCACCACAGAGCCCTGAACAAGATCCATTTCCAGCCTGTTGTAGTTCCAAATTTATACTTTGCTCTTTGCCTTTTTTGTCGTCGGTTTGGCACGAGGTGATGCCGTGTCCCAGCTGGGTGGGAGGCACCGAGGGTGGGATGGGATGGGGTGGGAGATCTCCATGGGGAGACACTTCTGCCATGGGCACAGCCTCAGCCAGACTGGAGTCAGCAAGGGCAACACACTGACTGCTCTTCCAGTGGCTTCCATCCCCCAGTTCCCCCATTCCCAGTTTCTTAGAAAACTCAGCCACTGGGAGTGTGAGTAGGGGAGTGGGAGATCCCCCACCTCCCGCAGCCCTGGATGTACCAGGAGCCCAGGCAGCATCTGTAGCTCCTCTCTGCCTTGGAGAGGGGAATAAACAACTCTTGGGAGATGAATAATTTATCAAAAGTCAAAGGAAAAAGCAGGTTTCATCCGTGGGCTTGGGCAAAGGTTTTAATGAAGGAGAGGAATAGATCCAGGGGCAGATGTCCCAGGAGACATCTCCCTGCATCACCCCTGCGGATGCCCAAGGTCTCAGCACCCTGGGGAGTGTGTCTTGGGAGTCCCCACAGCCCTGGAAGGAGGAAATGAAACGATTTAGAAAGGACCCCTCACCCACCTCCCCCTTTCCTCCTGAAATAACCATTCCCTGTCTCTGCGCGAGCAAAACAACACTCGATCTCAACCCAGATCCGCAGCACAACTCATCCTGCTCCTCCCAGCACTGCCAGGGATTTCGGGTGTGAGATCCACACAGGCTGGAACTGGCACTGTCTGCCCTCCCTCCACAGCTCGGATGGGCTGTGTTTGCTCCCAGAGCACCGGGAGGGAGGAGGTTGGAGCCCAACTGGTGACACTGGGCGTGGGGTGACAGCTCACCCTGCAGCCAGCAGTGATGTGAGCCCTGAGGACGAGTGGTGCCAGCACTGTGGGTGGGAGGAGGTCACCAGGGGTGTCACACTGTCACCCTGGTGTGTGCCAGGGCCAGGGTGGCCGTGGATGGGCTCTCAGGGCTGTCAGTTGGAGCCTCTGTGTGCTGCAGACACTCAGCTGAGCCACCCAACCCGTCCGGGAGCTTTGGGAATGCTGTGAGCAGTGTCTGGCTCTGCAGGCACTTCCCTCCTCCTCCAGCATGTCTGAGGTTGCTGGATTTGGTGGGATGAGCCTTCTCTGCTCCATGGCTCTTGTGGATTTTAGGGTATCCCATCATGCCAGGACCCACCACAGCACATTTATCCATCAGTGTCCAGTACAGACCAGACCACACATTCCAATGGGTGTGAGACCTGCCCAGGGGAGGGGGGAGAAAGTGGTGCTGAGGTGGTTGGGCTGACACTGGGGTGGTGAGGCTGGTGTCAGCCCACAAGGATACCCTTTTCCAAGGATACTTTTCACTCTGCCCTGCTCCCCAGCACCAGTCTGGCCTGGCCACAGTGTTATTGATGCTCCCAGGTCCTGGGAGCTCACACCCTCATTCCCAACTGGAGCTTGTGTCTTCAAGGCCTTGGCTGTAGCATCTATGGGATCATCCCACTCATACCCAAGAGAGTTTTGCCCAAGTGCTTCCTTCCCCATCCCTGGATCCAACCTGGCAAAGCTGCAGGGCAACACGTGCTCCCCTCCAGCCACTTCCCAAGCGTCCAAGAGCACAGTGTCACCACACCCCACGCCTTGTCCTGCACCGTGTCCCACCCCCTCCTTGCAAGCACTCAGGAAAACAGCCACCGGGAAGCAGAAAGGCTTGAGATGCGATCTGAAAACCGGCGGGGGAGAGATGCCCAGGGGGCGGGCGGGTGCTCC